CCCCCTGCAGGTGTGGAGGAGTCATTGCACCCCCTGCCTAGCTGGGAGCCAGCAGTGCCTCCTGCAGGCTGGGAGGAATCATTGCACCCCCCCCCCCGCGCCTGGCTGGGAGCCAGCAGCGCCCCCTGCAGGCTGGGAGGAATCACTGCACCCCCTGCCTGGCCGTGAGGAATCATCACCCCTGAGCCAGCAGCACCCCCTGCAGGTGTGGAGGAATCATTGCACCCCCCCTGCCTGGCTGGGAGCCAGCAGTGCCCCCTGCAGGTGTGGAGGAATCATCACACCCTGAGCCAGCTGCGCCTCCTGCAGGCGTGGAGGAATCATTGCAGCCCTTGAAACCCCAGAATTTAGAGCCTGCAGTGCCATTCCCAGCTTTGCCCGGAGCTGCACGAAGGAAGGCTGCTGCCTGCAGCCAAGAGAGGCTGTGACTGGGTCTGTGGTTCTGTGTTGTCACTGTTGTTCGTTCACTTTGTTATTTATGTTCTAGTAAAGAACTGTTCTTCCTTTTCCCATCTCTTTGCCTCTGATGGTTTAACTTTTAGCTTTCATCTTTTCCAGATTCTGTACGGCATTAGTGTGTGACTCTGATCTTCATATAAAGTGTTAGCAATTTCTCCTCACAGTTTAGTTTGACAAAACAATCCTTTTCCAGCCCCAGAACCAAGGACACCACTGCACCTCCAGGCCCAAAAAGTGCAAACAGCAGCGAATTGAGGAGAGCAATCTGGGAGGATGGGACTGCAGAACCTGGAGCTGGAATTGGACAATGAACCCCAGTATGGAAATGGACCAAAACTTATAAAAGTGTGAAAACTTGTGACCCACTGTCCATCTGGGGTAGAGCCACAGCCGGGGTCTTGCACTGCCCAAGGTGAATCCTTTGAAGGCCTGTTAATAAATCCCTACTTTATTCCTTTAACACTGTCTAGCCTCTGTTCCAGACAGCCCCTTTAGGCATCACCTCAAAGCTCCATAATTCCAAAGTTATAATATTTGGGAGGGAAGAGAGTCATATTTCCCAACTTCCTTGGCAGACAACTGTCTTCTAAACCAATCAGTTGGAGGCTGTGTTTAAGATTCTGTAGCAACTCAAAGGAAGCAGCTGATTTTTTTTTTTTTCCAATGCCTCAAACCAATTTCCAGTTTTCTTGATCTTTCCTCTTATACTAATTGTTCGTTTTGGAGTTTTCTATGTCACTTGAACAGGAAGATCTGAGGTGGTCCAAAAACTTCTAGAACTGATTGGTAATTCCAATCTGTGCTTTTCCAACTTCATCATGTAGCCAGATATTTCTCTCAGATGCCCAGACTGGCCTGAAAGAGTAGTGGTTTGAAGTGAAAATATTCACATTAATCATGAAAAGTCAGGTCAAACTTGTCCTGTTTTTATGGTAAAAGTCTTTTTTTTTGTTTTTTTTTGTTATAGGAGGTTGCTTTCAAATTACTTATTAGCTGAGTGAGGTTCAGAGTAGATCTGTTGTGAATAATATAAAATCTGCAAGTAATAGAAACTGTTTTGATAAGAAAAGCTGTGTTCTTTTTCTTTCATGAACCTATAACTGCTGTTATCCTAATATCTCATCTAAAATACCTTCTCTTGTACCCTATCAGCATTAACATGAAATTCAATGTGCAAAAAAATACCCCAAATGATACTTGAACTTTGTCAATAAAACAATTCTGGTGAATTTCTCAGTTCCCTTTTTGGTTTTTGTCTGTTTGTTTGTTTGCTTTGTTTGGGGGGGTTGTTTGTTTGTTTGTTTTGGGGGGGGGGGTTTGCATGTGTGTGTACATGTGTGGTGGTTGCACTTTGAGGTTTTGGTTTTTGGTCTTTTGCTCCAGAATGCAGAGATCCAAGCTGAGATCCGTACTCTGCATTGCATTGGAATATATTTGAGACTGTCCTTTGCTTCTGATGAGTATTAAAAAGGAAGACCTGATAGTATACAACATAACTCTAGTTTTGCCAACTCACTGTAAAATCCTGTGAAGTTTTTTTCTCTTCAGATATCACTAAACAGCTTTTTATTTTTATTTCCTTAGTACTTGTTTTGGTCTGGGTAAACTTGGTTGCTGCATGAATATTTTTTTCCCCTCCTTTTCGTGTTTTGTTGTGGGGATTGCAGTTTTTGCTTAATTAGATGTTGGTTAACAGCTTTCGGTCTGTTACTATGGAGTTTTTAATTTTCTAAACTATTTTCCCTGGGGCAGATTCTCACAAATGTGCTCATTATTTTAATTCCCTGTCCTAACATTGTTTTCCTTCTCCCAGGGAACTCTGCCCATGGATTGTGGTCACCTACTTCTGCCTTCCACTTTTCTTCCTCCAAAAGCTCACCCTGGTCCGGGAGCTGGAAAAGAGAAATTCCCTGGTGTCCCAGGGGCTGGGTGAGCACCTGTCTCCTGTCTTGGATGAGCTTTTTGGTGTGTCCCCCTGTTTTGGGGGACAAAACTTTCGCCTCTGGGAGCTGCCTCAAAAAATGGCTATTTTCTGTAGGATTTTGGCCATTTTCTGTAGGATTTTGGCCATTTTCTGCAGGATGTGCACTGATTTCTGCCTGGCCAGTGCTCCCTGAATCGCTCCCCAGCAGACAGAGGCTGCAGCCCTGGGTACCAGCCCTGCCAGATGGTTTAATTTAAAACCCTTCCTAAACACAGCCCGTGTGCAGCCTCCCCGGGCTCACTCACACCCTGCCAGCCGCCAGAGTCGGGGGAGCAGCTCCTGAAAACAAGGGAATGGAGCCGAGGCAGCACCAATTTAATTGCCTGATATACGAGGAGGGAGCTGTAATCTTGCCGCAGCCTTAATCTCCTCTCCTCAGTTCGTGATTTCACCCCCGTGGCTCTCTGCCCTCCCCGGACAGCAGCGGGAGATGTGAGAAGCAGGAGGGGTGGTCGATGAATACGAATTTTTGGTGAATTGTGTTTTTTGGTGAGTGGAGTTGCCTCCTGGGCGGGTCTAGATAAACAGGGGCCCCGCGATGCTGGTGGCAGTCTGCTGTGGGGAATGTGTGGGGCAGGGATGAAAGGAGGGTCTGTTGGGTTTCCGATTGATGGTCAGAGATCAGACAGGTCCTGTGCGAGGGTCTGGGGGCTGCAGGACGGGAGGGATGCAGGGGCCGGGCTCAGGAGCTGCTGGACTCCGCGCAGGAAAGGCACCACACATCCCAGGGGAGGAGGCTTTCCTCCCTGGAGACACCCATGCACGCCTCCAAAAAGTTGAGACAAAACCAAGCTGGTTTTCAAAACGCTCTTTGCTCCTGCTGCTTTGCTGTTTTGTCGGTCTAAAAAAAAAAAAAAAAAAAAAAAAAAAAAAAAAAATCTTTTGTTCTCCTTAACTCCTCTTTTGAAGAGGCACTAATGGAAATAATTATCTGCAGGAATCAATGCTCGTACCCCTGAGTATTTAGTGCTGCGTGCTGTTTCAGGAGGCAGTGATTTCCATCTGGGAGAGCACATGTTCCCTTTCACTGTGCCCATGAGGAGGAAGAGAAAAGGAGCATTTCATGTCACTCACGGAGCTTTGCTGATACTGAGCAGAGCTGGCAAGAACTGCGTGAGGGAACTGGGTAAAGAAACTAGCTGGTACTGAGGAATATCACAGAGAACTCTCTGAGCTGGAAGAGGCTTCTCTCCCATGCAAGGTTTTATCAAATTTTCCCCTTAATTAAAAGAAAAAAAAAAAAAGAAAAAATAAAGAAAAAAGAAAAAGGAAAAAAAAGAAAAAAGAAAGAAAAAAAAAAGAAAAAAAGAAAAAAGAAAAAAGAAAAAAGAAAAAAGAAAAAAGAAAAAAGAAAGATAAAAAGAAAAGAAAATATAGTAAATCTAAAAATCTGTAAGTGTA